ACGAAACATAGTAAAGCGAAACACATATTTATAAATGTTTAAGAAGAAAAGCTATTGAAATAAAAAAGAGTAAATCCAATATACATATAAATATATATATATACATATAGAGAAAACATCTATGTATTACATATAGAGAAGTACATTGCGCATTTTATGTAATTTCAAAAAATAGTCTACTTAAGAAACAAACTAATGCAAAACAAAAACAAACAAAAAAACAGAAATCAATTCAAACTAAATGACCAAATAAACAAATTAGAAAAATACTTTATGTTGTCATTTCCAATGACACGGCGTAACGAAGTTCTTTGGTTTCAAGACAACAATTAAAGGTATAACAATAAAAAATTATAAAATCGTAGCCTGTCTGTGTGTACTTAATTTGTAATTGGAAAACAAAAATGGTTATGTGTAACTAATTCGAACAATTCAAGAAGAGCAAACCAAGCTAATAAATTGAAAAAATCGAAAACAATAAATAAAAATGATGTTTTTTTTTTTTTTTTTTTTTTTTTTTTGTATGTAACATAAACAAAAAACAAACTGAATTTTAGCTTGTTGGAAATTGTGAATTCAATAAAAATAATTTGAGTTGTGAATTTGAATTTTCAAATAACAATCGTTTAGTTATCGGACACGAGCTACATGTCTGCTCCGGCATATATCGATGGCTAATGCATAAATATCGTTAACATCGATAAGAACGATGTTGCACTATCGTTGTATATTGTCAATCTCTAATACTGCGTAGCCGTCGCGTGTTCGTAGATAAATTGCAATTTCGCTGGCGTTTTTTAATTTATTTAAAAACGCAAATTTACCAATTTCAAGTCACTGAACTAACAGTGCATATTGATTGTTATCAAGTAGCGAACTTATCTGCAGCTGAATGCAATTGCAAACGGTAATAAGCAATTCTCGAAAGAACTATTTCGTGCATGTGTATGTATGTCCATATTTGTGAGTGTGTATATGTGCATAAAAGGCATAGCAACCAGACAAGCGGACGTTCCCAAAGTATGAAAGCACTAAATTGTGCTTATAAGGATTGCCACAAATGCTGCAAGCGCACAGCAATTGCATGAATCGCTTCTTATCGATGACAAATGAATCTTGGGGCGGGTAATTTTTGTTGTTTTTTTTTTTTTTCTTTTTCATCCAAATTTAGTCAAACATTAATTTAATTGAAGGCAAAAAGAAACTTTTAATCGCGCTGAATCGTCGTTTGGGTGAACATGTGCATGTATTTGTGTGTGTACTAGTAGTCCGTGTGTGTGTGTATTTGCTAAACTTGAAATACAACGCAAACGCAACGAGAACAAACTCGTCAAGGTAAAGAAAAAATGTGTGTGAAAAATTCCAACGGAATTACGCGAGAAGCTATTCGGAGGCAGGAAAGAAGTTAAATCAGATTCTCTTTGAGTGTATATATTCACATACATACATATGTGTGACGTCGGTTGCGTATTGCTCTCATTGTATATAAATGCGTCCGTGTGTGTGTATGTGCAAGTTACATTTTGCATTTGTAGTAGTGGCAGTAGTAGTGTAGTTTTGGGCGGAGGCCAGAGGGTGGCTGTGGTATAGCTATCATACGCACTATTTTTGGGAGGAGTGACAATTTGTCTAATCTGATTTTATACTATCAAAAAAAGGTTTTTTTTTTATTTGTCACTAATTGCGGACAGTTGCATAAATTAATTGTTTACTAGCCTGTCAGTTTTCGACTTTGCACAGTATTTTAAAATTATTTAAAATCAGGTGGCAACGCCGACCTACATTTGCTCATAGCGCATTTTAGCAACATCTGCTCTTGCCGGGTAAAATTCAAATCAATTTTCACTATGTCACGAATAAAATGAATGCAGTGGCATTAATTTGTCTACAGCATCAACCGATTGATCAAATATTAACATTTGTTATTTTAAAAGTTATGTAATAATGTATACCTAAACTAGCCTCATTAAGGACTTTGCCGCAGTTGAAATGAAAATGTGAGCAATCAAATTTCGGATTTGAAATTAACAAACTTCACAAAATAATCGATGTCATATGATGTGTATCGATATTTACGATAGCTCATCCCTGCATGCGGCAGCGCTGGAGTAAAGCAGTAAGAGCTGCTCTGAATATTACACATCGCGGATAGGAAAAGTTTTAAACAATACGAAACTAAGATATTGTATAATATTTGTGCTAACAGTGCAAAGCTCTAAAACACTGTCGGTCGTCTTAATTATTTATTACAATACACATTTGTCAAAACGAACATCGTGTTCCCCGTCTTCTCGTACCCCACAAAAAGCCGAAAGTGTTAATTAGCCAAATTCTGTATATATATACATACATATCTGCATAAATGTATATATAAATTTATATATACATTTGTATGTGTGGGTGTATGCATGTTGTAAAGACATGCATATGGCTGTGTTTTTGTCATATTAAACGTTGAAGCTGCTGCAACTAAGATATTTTGACTGGTAAATATAACGGCTGTCGCGTGCGTTAATATAATGTGAAATGTGCGTGTGAGTGTGCGTGCTGCAATAAAAGTGGACTAGCAGTGCAAACGTGTGCTTAAACGTTGAAAAAAAAAAATACACCCGATTAACAGTTAATTATTATTATATATATTTTTGATTTAATTTTTTTTTGCATAATCAACACTTTAATGTACATACATGTGCGCGCTTTTGCATTGCCCGCGCTCCGGCACCCACGCCATAAGCCACCTGTACGCCCTTGCTCATAAACACACACACGCAAACGAGCGCGCACACGCATACATAGACACGCTCGTGCACACAGCTAAACGATGTGATTTGCGGTAGTCTCGTGAGCATTGCTTGCTCGCTTGCCAAAGCGATAACGAAAACGCATGCATGTATGTATGTATGCATATGTACGTACACACATATATATAAACATATGTATGTTTGTATTTTATTGTCTTCTTTGGCCCATTTGGCTCTGCTTCTTGTCGATTTCGGCTAGTGCTAAGCGCATTTGTACTCTGCAAAGAAGAAAGAAAAAAATGTGTATAAAAACGAATTGCTGAGGCGCCGTCGCCGTCTCCGGTGTTGCTCTCTACGCTTCAGCTGCATTTGGCTTGCAGCTGCTGCGGCTGCTGCAATGGCGAAGGCGGCGCCAATGAATTTCTATTTGTAGAAAAATAGCGCATCATTTGCAATGCAATTGTTTGCGCTTTCTATTTAGTTAAATCCACTCTTGATAACACATGCGATCATTGGGCGTAGGTGTGTATGCGTGTGTATGGTCCAATGAGATCGAGCATTCCTGACGTCACAAGTCCATTAAAGATGCATGATCTCTCTCTCTCTCTCTATTCTCGTTGGGGGGAAACAAAGATTGCCCGTTAGAGAGTGAATGTGATTTGCTGTGCATGTGTCGGTGCTGAACAATAATTTCTACCAGGTGGCAACGCTGCGTCAGTGTGTTAATGTAAAATTAAATGCTGGAATCGATTCATATGTATATATTTGGCAAATTTACTTTACTGAATTAGAAAAAAAAAAACGTTTTCTTTAATTGCAGTTGCAGACGCCTGAGACGAAATATCAGGGCGTAGCCTTATCAAGCAAACAAGTTGCCAGTTTAAAAAGTGAGTAAGTTGCACATTTGGTGGGACTGTTATGAAAACCGTCAGAGATTAGACGGACAAGCTTTGCTTAGTTGCTCACAGGCAGCACAACTGCTATAACTACAACTACATCATTAATAACAACTACGACACCGCCTTGCACCACACCGCTGTGAACGAACGCCGATGCTGCGCCAGAGCAACAGCTGGAGACATAGTCAGAGCCAGAGGCAATTGCAATTGCAATTGCAGATGCAGATGCATTTGCAGTACGTCTAACTACGCGCCGCTCGACACAACAGAGCTCCGCAACAACAGCGCCAGCAGCAGCAACGGCAGGAACAGGAACAGCGGCGGCGTCGGTCGATCTACACTTAAACATCAATATTTAGATCTATATAGACACACTCAGATATACACATTCATACACATACATTAAAAACACACACCGACTGTGACATAGTGTGAGGGTGATAGAGGTCTTTAGAGAGAGCGAGTGTGTGAGAGAAAAACAAATAGAGAGAGTGTGTGTGTGTGTGTGATTGAAAGAGATACAGAGAAATCAGAAGGAGCATAAACGCTGCCCAGCACACAAAACGCCCATTTGAATGGATCCGTGTGTTGGCTGGTTTCAGGAGGAACAGGAGGGACCAGCGCTGCGCACATGGTTAAAGATTTGGGAAACGAGTTCCCAGGAAATGGGTCCACTTCTAGAGCAACAGCTTCAGCAAAGCAACAACAATAACAACAGCAGCAACAACGGAAATACCACCAGCAACAACACCGGCAACACCAGCAACAACAACAACAACAACAACAATACCAATAACAGCAGCAGCAGTACTAGTAGCAATAACAGCAGCAGCAGCAACAGCAGCAGCACCAACGCAGCATCTAGGATTGTTAACAACGATTCTACGATCAGTCTACGCGATCCCGACTCATTACAAATTCTTCTTCAGCAGTTGAACGAGCAGCCATCGCGACACGGGAACAACAACAACAACAACAACAGCAGCAGCAGCATTAACGGAGGCAAAAGTTCTAGCAACACGTCCATCGATTCAACATCGAACAACGACAATAACTCACCAGCGAGTAATAGCAGCAGCAGCAGTAGCAGCATCAGCGCCAGCGCGAACAGTAGCAACGTGACTCCATCAGCAGCAGCAACTGCAGCAACCGGCACTGCTGCAACAACGCCAACAACAGCAACAGCAACGGCAGCTGTGAGCAGTACAACGACGCCGACCGGTGGCGATAGTGCCACCGTTACCTCCACCACAACCACTAGCAGCAGCAGCAGCAACAACACCACCACCAGTAGCACCACCGTGACCACAAACACGAATAGCAACAACAGCAGCAGCAGCCGAAGCAGCAGCACCAATTATATAGCCAATCCCGCGTCAAAGGTGCCGCTGCACGAGCGCGCCAACACCTATTACAATCCTTCGCGCAGGAAACGCGTCGTGGACAACAAGTCGAGCACTCTGAATCTGACCAAGCACGCCGACATGATTGCCAAATACAAGGGCTGCCCGTGGCGTGTGCGCGACTATCAGTATGGCAAGGGCATCATTGGACTGCACGAAGAGATCGATCATTTCTATCAGTATGTCCTGCCCACGGCCTGCGAGCATGCGATACGCAACGAAGTGGTCAAGCGCATCGAATCCGTTGTCCATTCCATATGGCCGCAGGCCGTGGTCGAAATTTTTGGTTCCTTTCGCACCGGCCTCTTTCTGCCCACCTCCGACATTGATCTCGTGGTACTAGGTAAGCTAACGAAGAGATATAAAACTAGAGCTAATTATCTCAGCTAACTAATCCAACTAATCCATATATTTATTTGGTTCTTGAACGATATTCATTCAATAATAGGGATATGTATTAGATCTTACAGTACCTATTTTCGTATGACTGTTTCTTACCATGTACACACACACATATATGTGTATATATGCATATGTATCTAAATGGTAAAAATAGTCATACAAAAATAAATACTCTATATATGACTAACACTATTAATTTGGGTTTCATTCCACAGAGAACTTAAGACAATAATGGGCACGATGCAATTCTCTTAAGCTTTAGCTTGACTTTTACTTTTATATATTCGAAATTGTTTAGCCAGACTCATCGAGAGCTATTTTTATACCATGGCAATGCAGGTGGTAATGGCTTTCTGAGTCGAAATAGTTATGTAAGACTGTCTGTCTTGTAAACCATATAAGCTGGAGACTTCAAATGAAATTCCTGTATGCAAAATGAATTTATCACTTATCAATTAGTCATACCATTAGTCAATTTTCTATAATTATCGAAGCCTTAATGTGGATTTTTAAGTGCAACTTGAAAACTTTCAAATTTTCTGCCTAACCTATTAGTCGATATGGGATTTTAAGCCAAACTTGAATACCACTAAAGCTAAAGCTTTCTAAATTGCTGTGTAAGTTCCTCGCATGAGTACACTGAATTGGTACATTTTGGAATTTTGATACCTTCCTGGATTGATTGAAAGAACATCTGCGGGTAACCCTACACAAAGTACCAACTAGTCGGGTATACCCGACTAGCGCACTCTTGATGTTTAGATCGCTTGGAACAACTGTTTGCATTTAATTCAATGGCTTATTAATAATGAACCTTTCTTTTTTATTCTTCTTTTTCTCTCTCTCTCTCTCTCTCTCTCACTCTGTGTCTTCACCACCTCGTCCTCCTCTCTCTCCTGTTGCCCCATTTGTTGCATTTGTTTTGCAGGCCTTTGGGAGAAGCTACCGCTGCGCACTCTTGAATTCGAGCTGGTTGCGCGCGGCATCGCCGAGGCGTGTACGGTCCGTGTGCTAGACAAGGCGTCCGTCCCGATCATTAAGCTGACGGACCGGGAGACACAAGTAAAGGTCGACATATCGTTCAATATGCAATCGGGCGTGCAATCAGCAGAGCTGATCAAACAGTTTAAGCGCGACTATCCGGTGTTGGGGAAGCTGGTCCTGGTGCTAAAGCAGTTCCTACTGCTGCGCGATCTCAACGAGGTGTTCACCGGCGGCATCTCATCGTACTCACTGATACTCATGTGTATTAGCTTCCTGCAACTGCATCCGCGTGGCATTTACCATGACACGACGAATCTGGGCGTGCTACTGCTCGAGTTCTTTGAGCTGTACGGACAGAGCTTTAACTACATTAATATTGGTATTTCGATCAAGAACGGCGGCCGCTATATGCCCAAGGACGAACTGCAGCGGGACATGGTCGATGGCCACAGGCCGTCACTGCTCTGCATCGAGGATCCTCTGACGCCCGGCAACGATATCGGACGCAGCAGCTACGGTGCCCTCCATGTGCGTCAGGCCTTCCGATGCGCTTTCAGTGTGATCAATAATGCTGTGAGCGAATCCAATCTCTGGGGCAACGATGTGCGTGAGACGTCCATCTTGGGTGAGTGTTAGAGAAGTGCTTTCCAATGGGAATATTTGAACTATTATTTTTATGTCTGTAGGTCGGATAATTCACATTACCGATGACGTCATTGACTATCGCGAATGGATACGCGAGAACTTTGAATATCTAACGGCCATGGATCCGATGCCGTCGCTGCCCACCTACGCCAATGGCGCTGCCAAGTATGTGATCTTGCCATCTGGCACCGTGGTGCATCAGATATACCATCCGGTGCTGCAGCCGCACGCGTTGACGCAGACATATCATACGGCAGCTGTGGCGGCAGTGGCAGCGGCTGCCCAGCAGCAGCAGCAGCACCAGCAACAGCACCAACAACACCAGCAGCAACAGCAACAACAGCAGCAACAACAGCAGCAGCAGCAACATCAGCTGCAGCCGCAGGGCCAGCTGGTTGGCAATCTGAACAACATGTCGGCGCTGCGTCACCGGCGAGGCAGCACCTCGTCGGCGGAAGACAGCGAGGATAGCAAAGACTGTGAGGTTGGCGACCGGGATAGAGAGTCGCTGACTGGCATCGGGATCGGGCAGCAGTCAATGGAAATAATTGACATCACCGCCTCGCCGCCGAACGGACTGGAAGTGACAGCGATGCCAGTGACCGTGCCCAAGCCCATTATGGTGGCGATCAGCAATAGCTCGTTGTCGGGCTCGTCGGTAATGCACACACCTACACGCATAGATACATGATGAATGGCTGCCGGCCTCATGCAGCAGCAGCAGCAGCACCAGCAGCAGCAGCAGCAGCAGGTCGTAGGCTGTGCCATGCTGGCCGCAATTGCTCCCAATTCAAATATCGCAACGCCACGTGCCCAATTGTTGTTGCGCACCAACGGTGGCGGCGTCGTCGCCGCCGGAGCAGCAACTGCGGCCAGCATGCCAGCCAAGCCACAGGCCCAGCCAAGTCAACATACATGTATATCTTCTTCACAACTACAACAGCCAGACGTGGAGCAGCTACGAGATGCCCCGGCGGAAGTACTGGAGGATCACGCAGTAAACCAAAGCCATGTCTACACCACCACCAGCAGCACCACAACCAGCCACGTCCAAGCCATCTGCAACAGCAAGCCCATCAGCAGCAACACCATTAGCAGCACCAGCACCATCACCAGCAGCAGCAGCAGCAGCAGCAGTGGTGGTGGTGGTGGTGGTGCTGGCGGCAACAGCAACACTGCGACGCGAAGCTATGGCCAGCAGTCGGTGGGTCAGCGCAGTCACAACAATTCGTATTACCGCCAGCCGCTCTATGTGCCACCGCCGTTGCAGCAACAGCAGCAGCAGCAACAACAACTGACCAAGACCATTTCCAATGTGCAGCAGAGCAGCTACAACAGCCATCATGTCCACCAGCAGCAACGGCCGCAGCATCTGCGACTGTCCAGCAACAATAGTAGTAGTGTTAATACTGGCAGCAGTACCTTTCAGCAGCATCATCACCCACTCCATCAGCAACAGCATCATCATCAGCAACAGCAGCTCCATCTCCATCAGCAGCAACTGCAGCAGCAGCAGCAGCACCAACACCAACAGCAACAGCAGCATCGTAGGCATTTTCAAACAGGCGTATCTAAACCGGTAGGTTCGCCCACAGTATCATCATCCTCCTGCACAACAGCTGGCGCCGCAGCGATCGTGCTTAGCTGTAATAGCAGCAGCAGCAGCAGCAGCAACAGCAGCAACCATAGCGGCGGCCACAGCCGCTTGCAGCAAATGCGCGACACGCGCCTGGTTAACTCATCCTCCTCAATCATTTCCATATCGTCTGAATCCTCAGTTGGCAGTTCCAGTTCGTCGCCTCGTTCCCCACGCTGCGCTTCTGGTGGTGAATCCGCTGACTCGGCTTCCGCCCAGGTGGCTACAGCAGACGATCGCTAAGGAGGATACTCAAATGCTATTCTAATATTCCAAAACTCTGGTTCAGGCGAGCAAAGAAGCCAGCGTGAGTGAGAGGGATAGAAATAGATATTTAGTCCAGGCGAGTCGAGACGACTTGAGATAACAGAGACAGAAAAAGAGATGGAAAGAGTGAGATAGCGAGATAGCGAGAAATGGCAATAGTCCGTCATGTGCATTAATCTACAAATAGCTGCGTGCGTCAAGAATATTATGATAGCGACTATGATTATGATTATTTCTCTCTTATATATAATTTCTTTTCTCGATAGTTTGAATAGCAGACTCACATTCGCATTCACAATCATTCATTAATTCAAATCTTTAGTTATATATGTGTATGTATATGTAGTTGTATATGTAGATATATATATGTGTATATATCTGTATATGTACATATATATGTATGTATGTATATGTGCATATAGCCATGTATACGTATACATAATAATTATTGATGTATATGTAATTGCTTGTAGACATATCGCCAATGTAAGCGTATGTGTAAGTGTATATATATTTCTATATGTGCATATTTCATATATATATATA